AAATATATTAGCAGCCACTATCAGGAGAACTCAGTCGGTAAAGAATGCCATTCAATTCCAATCAGGGATGCCAAAAACGTGTGTGGTTAGAGAAACTTGATGTGCTATTTCTTACGTAAACACTCAACAAAACAATACGATTGGTAGGCCAGTTGTTTCCTTTATTAGATATTAGGTTCAGGGAACGGGATCGACTAAAACTCTCCTCAAGTAAAGTACGGATAAGTAACTGAATTTCAAAGTGCATATCATGAGGCCTTGCTAAATAATCATCACGGTACCTTAGAATGTTGAAAAACTATTACCTATGATAGGACACTTAAACTTGATACACTCGCACTCGTCGATTTGCTGCGCTACACTCTGGTTCTCGACATCGGAGACTCATAAAAGTCCAGTTGGAAGACTGCACTTACTTGCATCTCTCCTGCCAAGATGACTGTGCAATCATGGATTAGCATTAATGTTCGCTCGCTACTCGCGAGGATCTCGGATTTAAACTCCATTCTGAACACACTTTTAATTCCAACACATGTGTTGTATGCGTACAGGAAACTTGGCTGAATCAAAACGTTGATGACATGTTCGTTCCAATGGTTTCAATTGCTACCGGTGGGATGAGCAGCGAAGTAGAAAAAGAACTGGATCGGGCGTGACAACCTCTGTCAAGTACCTGGGTGTCACCATCAACGGCAATCTCCGGTAGTCCACACACACACATTTACAATTGTAAGGGGAAACTAAGACTCCTCTCCCACTTCAATCACCCAAACTCATGAATTTTCGAACCCCACAGTCAGCTTCATCCTTTTTCGTTCACTAATGCGTTTTCCCATTATTCTCCATTACTCTCCTGTCGTGTTTGTTTTTAACCTTTTAAAACAAGACTTCAGTAGGATTCGTGGTGGTTTAGTGATAATCAGTCGTGTATCATTGATCTCGATTGATTTTATTATTCACAGAACCCAGTGGCATTCAGATCAACTCCTCTGTATTAAAGTTGCCAATAAGATTCTAGACGACCGTCTTCATCCATTCCATCTCGATCTATCTCTTTTGTCGTTCCTATCCGTTCGCACGCTTCTCCTTTCAGCACCTATTCTCTCGTATTGACGTTTATAAGAATTCCCCTGTACCCTACCTAGCCCGATCTTAACCAACAGGTCACAGATGAATTACGTGCATAAAACTTCAGCGACATTCTTCACTTTGCATGATACATGAAATTGCATATTTCATTCGGTTTGGTGTCCAGTGCACATTTATAACTGAAAGGTAAAAAAATAAACTTACAGAATTTATGCAAATAGAAAACTTTTTCCCCATCCCACATCACTGCATCGAAAAACCAACGAATCGGATTTATTATCTCCTAGCAATGTACCAGATTTGTACCAGATTTTCTATTCATCAGTGCACACATAACAACTGTATCAGTTCACGGAAGAAGTTATCGAGAACATGCTTATTGATGATCGAGTTTTGTTTTTCAAAGTCAAGAATAGAGTATTCGGTGTACTTTGTGTTGTTTTAAAATATTTTTTTCCACAAAATAAAACAATCTCTCAGGAATTGTAAGGAGAAAAGGGCATCATTCAAGGATATGCTTACTTTTGAAAGAGACAATGGTCGATAACGATGGATAGAGTGGTCGGTCTAACGGACTGTCAATCTACTGGGAACACTGATAAAGCATCCATGTGATCCCAAATTTGAAGTACAGCATTGTTGTGGGCAATCAACCTAGCAAATTAAATCACAGACACAATACAGCGGAGTAATCTGGATCTAGGGCTCACCAGTTGATAAACGATACTGAATAAACGTAATTAACTCACGACGATCCAAAGCCAGTTGGTCAGTCCGGATCATGGACAGCTCTGGGACTATTAATCAATGTGAGCCACGGAAAACTGCATCACGTGATCCGAGTCGACTTCATACAAACTGTGATGGATGGATGAATGCAGCAACATGTACAGGTATAAAATGAAATTTAAATTTCGAATCACTTGATGCGAGGATCTGTGCGGAACTGGGCAAGTGGAATAAGCAACATCGATCTTCCGAACTGGTAAGGAAGTTAACCATGCTGAAAACGAATACTGTCCGAATAATCTCAAATTATGCATGATGGTAAGTAACAATATCATATGATGAGAAACTGTGCCAGTTGGTCCAGCTGTGTTGATCTGATTGAAAAAATCAATAGAGTTTCTATAACCCAGCTTGCCATTGAATCCCCGAACGCAGTGAATACAAAGAGTCGTAATGCGTAATGAATTTATTGGACCGTTGAATATTATTTGGAAAGATTGCAATACAGGAGAAATAAAAGTAATACTACGACCCGTTATATACAATAGAAATGTGAAAAAATGTATCTAACTCATCTGGCAACTTAAATGTTTGTATTTCATTCCCTTGGGTTGTAAACCAGATTATATTGTCATGTTATTTCAGAATAATTTACTCTAGAATGTGCTCAGTAGATCGTGACGTCGGAACTGGGACAGTGCTTGTTTTCACCGGGTAAATATACTATATACTATATACTATATACGCCAACGGTCACACAGAGAAAATATGTTCAACGGGGGGAGAGAGTATTTACACACAGCATAGGAACATTACATAGTAAAAGGTTAAGACGAAGTTCACTTGTTACCATCTCTTTATTTGTGAGTAAACTTGCAACATACGGGTATAGGTGAATTCTGATCGGCGTCTATACGAAATGATATTTGTCGGGAATTGAGAGCGTGTGGAGGGCGGATGAGAACGACAACGTGTCAGTCTCAGGCGTGCACTGCGTGGTCAGGATCTGTGAGAATCCTCTCCGCAGATTTCACACCGGAAAGTTGTATGATACTCTGAATTTTTCACAGTTTTAATTCGTTCACCGGAATAGAAGAAACATGGCTAATTATTAATTAATTAATTAATTATTAATTAGACCGTGACGTAGGACTTTGAAATCCTGTTTAAGTAAGCCGGAAAAGATAACTAGGGGACAATAAAGTAAGATAGAGAAAACACCGATAAACAACGGTAGAAATAATTGACTGGGATGCCTCAAACTGTCTGAGTTTTTAAATTGGAAATGATAGATGCCGCAGTTTACCAATGCAGTTGTGGATGTGGGTTGACCACCGAAGATTGTTACCTATGGTTACACCAAGATGTTTGGCACAGTTCACCCCAGATAAAAGATTGTTATTTATCACTGTGGGGCATAAAGAGTGTGCAAAACTACGTGACCATTGAACAAATTTACTGGGGTTCATGCTTAGAGCCGATTGGGAGGAGAATGACTGAATTTGATCAAGATTGTCGGTGAAGAAGTTTAGATCGCAGCAAGAAGAAATGGGTTGACACAGCACGATGTTATCTGCATACTTCAAAACACACGGAGGAGAAACACAAGAACTATCACAAATGTAAGTGAAGAATAAATATGGGGATAGCATAACTCCGTGATGAACTCCGGAGTTTAGATGAAGCTTTCACAAGTCTGGTGGTTTGTTCTCTATCTGTAAAGTAATTGAATAACCAAGCTAACAATTGCTTGGGTCATTCAAACGATTCCATTTTCTGTAAAAACTTTGATTGAGGAATAGAATCAAATGCTGAATAGTAATCAAGAAAGATACACCCAAGACCTGCAAGGGGTGATGTGAAGCTATCAATGTTAATGTTTTCGAATCGAATACTGGTGGAAACATTCGAGTAGAAACTTTTCAGGAATATTTTGTGCTAAATTTATGTGTTTAAAAATCCGATAAAACAGTTTTACTATTTGTATTTGTACAACTTCTATAAACTTATACACTTGCGTGTCAGTTAAAAATGTACACTGTTCATCACGCCGAATGACGTATACAGTTTCATATAGCATTCAAAGTAAAGAATGTCGATGACATTTGCTTCATGTGTAGAACTAATTACATAATTCACTTGCTACCTGTTTCTTTGCGGTTAGGAGTCGAGCCAGTTAGGGTTCAGGGGGACCTTTGTAAATGTTAATACGAGAGGGTAGATGCCGAAAAGAGGAGCGTGTGGACGGATGGAAAAGACCAGCGGATAGATCGGTAGTTAAATGGAAAAGATAGTATTATTTTATACCTAAAAGAGATTCTGAGTTCGATCACCAGTTGAGTGGAGGAATGTGACCTGTTATTATTTGGTAACACTCTCACCCGATCAATACATGTATCTAAGGTTGTGGGCCCTGCGCAGTTATTCCCTCTTGACATGTGGGCGATCGATTTTTCAATTCAAGGTCAACTCTTGTTAAGGACACGTGAACGCAACGAACGAGTTGCGCGAACCAGAATGTAGTCAAACTTGACAGACCACGAAAGTTGGAGTAGCTCCAGCACAAGCAAAACAAATGGGGTAGTGACCTAATGAGAAATGCTAGCATCTCAAGGTTGTTTAAAACTTCATTTTCATGTGATGCTTGCACTAGATCATTTCTTTTAGTAGCACAGAAATTTTAGAAATGGTTGTCAATTAAAACGAAGAAGTTCGATTTGAAATACGGCACACATGTATCACTTTATATGCATGCCTGTATGTATGTATGTATGTATGTATGTATGTATGTATGTATGTATGTATGTATGTATGCATGTATGTATATATGTATGTATCTGTGTATGTATGTGGATGTTCGTAGGCTTGCAGGAAACTACTACAGGCTAGTAAGAATGGTTTTATAACGAAATTGATCGGTAGTTATGCAATACAGTGAAAACAAATTAGATAATGTTTATCAGTCAAAATTATTCATTTGAGTGAGGATGAAGTGGATTCCGTCGTGTACAAAACCGATGAAGCGCAAAACGGAAAAGCTGACAAGCACTGAAACACCTATTCCGACCCGATTGAGTCCCAGTTATCTAACCAACTTTGGGTCAAACCCCGGGAATTGAGGGATCAGAAATGATGGAAACAGTGTAATGGCAGTATTTTTCATGCAAATTAAAAAATACAATCTATGAGTACACATACGGAACACAATCAAGCCAGGCATCCAATAGTTCTTGACGTTTCCGTTCAAATCCGGGTACGCTTTTCTTCTCAGATGAAGTAATCCACATTTGGATAGAGTCACATTTCTCCTTTACTCTGTTCTGATGCTCTGTCGACAAACGTGTCTGTGCTAGCGGACTGTCCAAAGAGTTTTGAATCGTTCGAATGTCTCTTTCCAGTTCCGTTCTCCAGTGTTCTATACGCCGCGATTCCACCGTCGAATTGGATGTGGTATTCGGCGCAAACTTTGAAATGATCAGTCGCGATTCTGACCCCGTGCACAAATCAACGACGGATACGGTTAGTTGAGTACTTGCATCTATAGTGAATGTGACACGGAACACCGGTGTTCCCTTACGCATTGGAGGGATTTCCGGACACTTGAGTACACCGAGTGGGTCGTCTCGGACTCGGCCACGAATCACATCCCCAGCCCAGATTCGAATCACCGAGGGCAGTTGATAATCAAATTGGATTGAGTAGATCGATTCTTTATGGGCTGGAAGGGAGCTATTGACCGGGAACATCATAACTGGAGCTAAGCCATCCACCTGAAATCCAACAGGTTCCAATAAACGATCGATTTCTGTGGAGGAAATCGCCAGCGACGGGGACTGAACCCCTGGGGACGGATCGGACACAATCTCGAGTGGCGGATTTTCAATATACTCGGGAAGTGTTATTTTATCCCACTTCCTTAGGTGAGCCAACTGTATTGCTCCTCCACAAGCAAACACGTGATCAAAACGAAGCTGGTCATTTATTTTCACCCGAGGCCCGAAATATTCCCGGATCATTTCTTCAATTCGTGGGACTTTTGTGGCACCACCGACCAAAACAATTTCATCCACTTTATTGCGACGCACACCCGAGGTTTGTAACAGACTTTCCAGCAAAATGCGTAAATAGGCAAACAAATCGGCATTCAAACGTTTGAATAACTCACGATTACATGTTTGAGTCAACCGGTCCGGGAGATTTTCATCTGGGATTCGAATAACAGTTTCCGTAGTTCGGGTCAAATCGTGTTTCGCCAGTTTACATGCTTGTAGCACTCCAAACCGTGTCGGACAGTGCTCTGGTTTCAAATCGGGATAGTCCACGGTTAGCTGATTCATGACATGAGTCAGCAAGCGTTGATCGTAGTCATCTCCACCGGTATGTCCATCATCCACTGTGCCCAGTTCTTCCATTTGGTCACCAAAGAATCGATAGATGGACACATGAAACGTGCTGGCTCCCTGATTAAAAATAATCACTTTAGTCTCTTCATTGGATCTGCACTGTTGCTGATAGACTAGAGCGGCAGCTGTTTGGTCATCGATCAAGTGAACCGTTTGAAAACCCACATCTCGAGCACATTTGCTCAACGATTCTCGTTGTGAATCGGAAAAATGATGTGGTACAGTTAAAATCACTTCCGTAAATGGTTCTCCGCAAAGAAATTGCTTCTGAGCCCATTGGGCGACTGTATGAAACACAATTTGGACAAACATACTCGCCTGGATCACGTGATGCCCTAATTTGATCGTGGTCAATTCACGTGTGACAATTGGATGAAATGGCCAATCCGCGAGTTTGGGGTTCAGCTCAGCCGGTGGCAGTGTAAGTAATTGTTTGATTGCATAGACCACACTGGTCGGATCGTGAGACTGTTCGCGACGAGCGCGTTCCCCAATCAGCCATCCGTTTGCTCCGTAAGTCACACATGGATTGATCCGGGGAGAACATGATTCCGGATCGTTGACCAGATGGAGTTGACTTTCTTGATCTTCTGTTTCGCATAGCACAACTGAGATGTGCGTTGTGCCCAAATCAATGCTTAAAAATGACATGCAGATAAATGCTTTTATTCATGTACCAACATAGACACGCCCGTGTATACAAAGCGCGAAACACCCAGTTCTGACTTTTTGAATTGGCACAACACTTTTTATATACGCTAACAAGTGTGATAGGTTGCAATCGCCACTGTTCTGAGCCATCCGATGACCGATCAATACTAGATGCTAAGAGATGAGCTGCAGTATCACGTGATATGCAGCGGGTTAGTTCAAGTCAAAACGAATGTCTTTGTTTCTATGAGTTATGGATAATGTGGTATTGAAACCGCAATAAAATAAGACGTATGAATAGCAGTCAGGCTTTGGAGAATTATATGCATAAATTTAATTAACAATTACGAAGATTTTCTTACCATGAACAGTCGGTAAAAGCATGTGAGCTAAATCTTATAATTTCATCTATTTTGAACGCTTAGGAAGTGGTTTTAATGAGAGATAACAATTGAAAAGCTGCCATGCATATGTACTACTTCTCGAGTATCGTGGAATGAATGTTCAGTTTTTTAGTGTATGTTGTGATGTACGGATCCAATGAAGCGTGAACTGAAGATCTCAGAAGCACACTGGACAAATGTTTCCATCCGATTGGGTCTCATCAACAGTGCGCCAATTCGTAGACCTAAATGGGGATCGAACCAGGGACCTCACAGGTAGAACGCAAGCACAGTACCCACTCGATCACCCTGGGGTAGCCGATCAGACCAGTTGTTATTTCGCCTGTACAAGACATAGCACAACACATCTTTACAAACTTGCTGTGCGGATCACACCTCGCTCCCCTCCGCACTGATCTCCGTATTTATGACCGGCTTGGTACGGTACCTCCCAAATGTATGTTAATTGAGATCAGTTTGTTTTGGTCCGTTGAGATCCAGCATGGTGCACGTTTATGAACGAATGTTCATCAAAAGGCAGTATTTGTTTGTCAACGCAATATACAAAGAAGGACTTACGTCTTAGAGTCGGTTGATTCGACCTAACCAGGTCGATACAGCGCTCTAATGCTGCCAGGCTTTTCATTTTATGCTCCACAATGAAATTTATCTCATAATCAATTCAAATCTTTCACCTAAGTTGTTCTTTATACTACTCCAGGGTTTTGTTCACCGCTGCAAGACATTTTGGTTTGCTAAAGCGAGCATTTGGCAAATTTGAACCTACACTGTTCCCGCGGTTGTTATCAGCCTTCATTTGACCCCACATAGTGTGGGATCCATGACTGCAACGCGATCGTAAGATTCTGGAACGTCTACAAAAAAATGGCTACCAAGATGGTCAAAGGGCTGCATTCCAAGACTTATGTGGTAAGACTGGAATCATGGGGGTGGTACTCCACACAGTATCGCCGAATTCGAGGGTACTTGATTTTGGTGAATCAAATAATGCAGAATCCTAGTCATTCATGTTTTTCACTGTTCACCTTGTCATCCAACACGCACATCAGAAGGCACTCAATAAAATTAGTGCTTCAAAGATGCCTACTAGAATGCCGGCATCATTCATTTTCTTTTAGAGTGTGAAGTAGTTAGAATTCTCTACCACATCCCGTTGTTTACACGCCCATAAATGATTCTTTTGAAGCAAAACTGGATGAAATATTTTCAAGTCTCAAATTTTCATATGCGTAGCAGTGCACAAAACAATGAAAGTTTGTGCGATATTCCTCATCTTCGTCATTATGAACCATAACTCAATCCGATTCGTGCGAAAATCCTTGTGGGACAAGAAAATCCACTGCCTGTATGTATTTGTCATAAACAAAACTGATTTTCACATGTAAAAATAGTTTCATTACATGAATGCATTGGAGGATTTAAATTAATTTCAAATAGGGATTTCGTCGTGTATGGGGCAAATGAAGCTTTGAAATTCCCGATTTTCACAGCTACATACGGATCAGATTTGTTTTCCCGATGTGAACTTGAATAATGAACACGGTGCTGCACAATTTGTTTCCGACAAAATTTTGTCGTATCTCTTCAGGCACATACTACACTCGAAATATCTAATGAATACCTACAGGTAAGAATTACCAATGCAATGGTTGGGCTATAATTAACTCTTTCTATTTGTACAATAAGTTTTATACAAACTGCAGCAACCAAGAGTTTTGTCTGATTAAAACACTTTTGAATGCCGTGGTCACGTTCATTTGATATCAAATCTCTAGTATATGATGAGCGATCAGTGACACTGGTAACTGTTACTTGTTAGTTTTCATTATGTTTCGATTTTGGTAAATGCCTGAAGATATTCAACGAAATAATTCTGAAAATAAACCATTTAACACTATGCCGTTGTGTTCTTTATTGCAAGAATCTGCCAACAATGAAATCATACTACTGGCATAATGTGAGTAGCATCTCACAAAGGGAGCAGAAAACCAACCAGGGACAGAGTCAAAATACGAAATCCTAGATGAATTTCGATGGGATTCAGTTATTCAACTTCAGTGTAGTTATCTCACAAAGATTACAATAGTTTTATAGTTATCGGATACACGTTACTTCAGTCACTTTCACACAAACTGTCCGCAGAAGTTATCGATTTTCAGGGTCAAATGCCCGATTCACATGATCAGTGGGAAGCAAATACAGTTCTGGGTGCATTCAATCAACTGGATTTTCGGGTCTGCAAACCAACCTGCCCGAATGAAAGAAGAATGGAGGGTTTGTTTTGTCTATATGATGAATTCATCGTGAAAATCGGGTGTGAGCTAAAAAGCTGGGAAGGACAGTTTGAAAACTTTTTCGACCTGGTTAGGGGTCTCAAATTAGCATACTGTTGACAAGTGACAAGACATGAAACACGTTATCTCCGTCATAAATTCTATCACCGTGAGTGAGTGAAATCTGCCATATTCGAGAATCCAAACTACGAACCCAAGGCGTGTGTGTGTGTGTGTGCGGTGTATGAATGAATACTATAAAAACGTTGAGGAGAGGCTCAACACCACCACTGAGCTAAACAATAGATACTCACTCTAGCAACAGAACTTTTTGAATCAGAACATAATCCGGTTTGCTGCTTGGATTTGACGTCATCGGAAGTTTAATTTGAAGGAAATATTTGATGTAATGAACGGTTTTAAAACCTAAAGCTACTGCATTTTGGTAACACTTTCGAGGATTTTAATACAGGACAGTTAAACAACGAAAATTAGGTACTCATTCCCCGATTGTTCATGATAAACATCAGATAGGCCTTCATTTGCATGAATCGATGATTAGTGCGTAGTATTGCTAATTAATGAAATTACTAAGTCGTTCACCAAAATATAACGATTTCAAAGGTTCAAATTGAATTCGTTGATCCGTGCTGAACATGTCTCCTACCGTGATTTTATTTTGCAGCTGAACAAACAGGTATCACACTGCAACTCTGGTGATTGTCTGGAAGAAAAACTGTATGACCACTTAGTGACAGGCATCAAAAATCTGATTCTTCAACGGCAGCTGCTGTGCAGAGTCACACAAGATTTGTGAGTAACATGATTACCTGATGAAAGCGAGTTAAAGAGACGCATTCACACTATTTCAACGGCAGAAAACAAGACCAAAGCAACCTCCAGTGACCAAGTGTACACCAAAGCCACAACAAGACCCTATTGGCAATAATAAACATTTCAATCCTTGTATTTTATGTGTAGCTTACCACTTGCGCTCCAATTACCGCTTCCGAAATGCCAAGTGTCATGCATGCGGGAAAACGAGCCATATGCAATCTTGCACTGCCAATACCCCAAAAATGACAAGTCTTGTGCTCCCTCCACGATCCGAAGGTCAACGCATCTAATTATCGTACAAAGATGTGAGACTATAGTCCGGTACAAAGCATAAATTCATTGTTGACACACGAAGCATGGAGTCTATCATTTCTACTGCAGTGCTTCGGTCAATCTGTCCCCAAGCTAAAATCGGTCCGACATCTGTGCAAATCCTTGGCGTGACTGGACACAAATTGCCATTGATGGGTGAGATTGCGCTGATGGTGGATTGCACAGCGATTCGTCTTATTCTCATTTGTTTCCTAATTCCCGAAAACAGTCCATCCATACCTAGCTTAACCGCCACTCATGCATTGAACTATTCTGTGTCGCTGCATACCAGCCTGTGGCCCAATGTGCATACCCCTTCACAGCGCTTGGTTGTGAAATTCTACCACAATACACCAGACATGAACGTGGAACCGGCCAAATCGGAAGTCGATGGTGAGCCTATCTTCATGAAACGACGAGTAATCCCTTATGATCAACGTGAAGACCTGTTGAAGACTACTGAGAAAATGGAGCGCGACGGCATAATCACCCGAGTCACATCCAGTGTGTGAGCAATGCCAGTCGTGATCACGATTAAAAGTGACGGCAAAACACCACGAATTTGTTGTGATTACCAAATAACCCTCAACCGACGGCTACGAAAGTGTGCGGCTTCCAACATGGAACCGAAGAATTTCATGAAAACGTTGTACGGCAGCACATGCCTCTCGAAGATCGACTTGGCTGATGCGTACCTCCAGATTCCTCTCGCTCAAGCATACCGGCAATTCAGCACCATCAACACACCGTTCGGTCTTCACACATTCTCAGGCATATTCCAGGCGGCTATTGACGAATCATTCGCGGACTCGATGGTGTGTTAGCATATCAGGACGACATCATTGTGTTTGGCACAACAAAGGCCGAGCATGATGATAGACTTCTCAAATTACTGGAACGTTTTGCTCAAAAGAATGTGTCAGTTCGAGCCTCCAAATGCATGTTCAGTTCACCGGAGTTGGAATTCGTGGGCTTCACAGTGGATGCAAAAGGCTACCGTCCTGATCCGAGTCGTTTCCGTCCATTGACTGAAATCAAATCATCAAGAGACCAACACCAACTGAGGTCCATCATGGGATGTCTCCAATACAATTCGCGTTTCATCCTGAACTTTGCCACGAAAGCTCAACCGCTGTTCGCTGCTCAGTGCAATACAGAATGGGAATAGGCTGTGTAAACAAATTCTGCGTGAAACCATTCAGATGATAACTGACCGACCAGTACTTACCTCGTTCTCTCCGAAGAAATATCCAACTTTGATCACCAACGCATCAGATGTTGGTTTTGGTGCCGTCCTTGAACAGGACGAATGTCCGATTGTCTCGTCTATTGAGCGCGACAGAACGAGGATATTCGCGGACGCAGAAAGCAGCACCGGCTGTATATTGGGCCGTCCGACGCCAGCACAAATACCTGTTTAGACTGCGTTTCACCATCGTAACCGATCAGAAAGCCCTGTAGTACCTGTGCGATCGACAAAAGTCGATTTCCAAACCAACAGCGACGATGATTCAGCGATGGAGCACACACTGGCTGCCTACGACTACGATACCATCCAGGCCAAATAATTCCTCAAGCCAATTTTTTCTCCCGGTGATTCGAATTCTTGGCGGCTAAGATGTGCCATTTCATTGCTACTGCTGCCCCGGCATCACGAGAAGAGTTGCGCCTATGTACCAAAAGATACTACGCAGAGATCATAGCAGCCCTGTTAAAAGGATGGCATCCAGACCTGAAGTGAAACTATCCAGCATTTTATGCGCATCGTGAAGAAATCAGTGTCCAACCTGATGAAATACTATGCCGCAACGATCGACTGGTCATCCCACCTCCACTACGCAAGGCAGTGCTAGAAAATGTGCACAAGGGCCACTAAGGGGTGGAGAAGATGAAGTCTTTGTGCTGGTGGACCGTTATGCGTGAAGATAGTCGAACCGCTAAGAACTGCGAAGCGTGCCTACAAAAGCACAGGTCAAAACCA